GTTCCTGAAAACCCCACAGCGTGGTTCGACTCTGTGCTGCAGGCTTGCTGCAAGTTGGGACTGACATAAAGGTCGTGGGTAGGGTGCACTGGGATTCAGTAATGCTATGGTGCGTAAGCAGGGGCTGAGGACATCGCCTTTTGCCACTCACACACACACTGAAGGCTGAAAGAGTTGAAGAGGACAATTAGCAGCTGGGAGGAGCACAGCTTGATCATCTTCCCACCTCACCAAGAGCTTATAAGCTCCTGCGGATCAGTTTAGGGAATGGACCTGCCACCAGATGCATTTCACTTTTGCCCCTGGGACCCTAGAGATAGAATATTCCAGCTTCCCCAGAGTCAGCCAGTGCCAGTGACGCTAGTTAGGCTGGAGTGGGGCATCCTTTCCCTCAGCGCCCCAGACGGGCTAGTGCAGGCAGCACTGTCGCACATTCAGAGCTTCCTGGGTGGATCGGTCAGGTGGGCATCTCTTCTGCACTCCAACTGGGCCTTTAGTGACTCTTTCTGGTATTCTCGCCCCTGAATATTCCGGGGTTCGCCTGGCTATGTGAGATGAACCCTGTGGCTCGAAGTGGAGGCTGCTGGTTTCACGGGTTGGGGTTGGAGGCCAGAAAAATGGAGTTCTTGGAAAACACACGCAGTAAATGAGGCCTGAGCTGACACCTCATTCACACGCAGGTGGACAACGGTGGGTGCTCAACAGATAAGCTGAGGCTCCCACAGATGGGAAGAGGGTTGTTTTATCTGTGTCAGACACCCCTACTTTGTAGATACCACACCTGATGAGATGCGTCCAGGACACATCGACTTGAGGGACTCTCCTGGCCACCCTGCGAGCCAGCCATGCTTAGATGGGAGACAGGGACTCAGATCAAGAGGGGGGGCATCAGGCCAAACAGCCAGGGAGGGGAGAGGTGGGAACTGAACCAGAGTTTGTTCTCCCTGCTTTGAACCCACCCGAACCCCCACTGGAGGACGATGAGGCCATTGGCTTCTGTGAACATTTAAGACCCTGGAGACCCCACAGGGCAGTGCCCTCTGTCCTTCCGGGTCACTAGGATCAGAAGCGCTCGCTGGTGGTAGGTTAAGAGCTCTGGGTTTGCTTTCCCTTCCAGCCAATCAGATATCGAGCAGAGTGTGGGACGGGGCTGAGCTCAGCTTTGCTGTTCATAAGGTCACCGAGTGATAGCCAACTTGATGACCCCAACCAACAACACTGGGCAGTATGGCCCCCAAAATCCAAGTGGTCTTCAGAGCCCTTGGGCTACCCCTCTGTTCCGATTCCATGAAACAGCCTGCGGAGGGAGACTGGGAGATCCCTTTCTCCCATCCTTTGGGGCTCTCCCACCCTGAGAGTCAGTGTGGCCACTCTTAACTGTGGTTAATAAGGAGAATTGCATCTGAAGTCCTCGCTAAGTTGGCCTTGGACTTCTGCACTGTGGAGTCTGGAGAAAGTGGGTGAAAAGGGGCAAAAACAGTGATCCACACAGGACAGCTTCCACCCTCAGGGCTAGTAAGCTGGGAATGGTAATGACCCTCTCAATGGCTTCCATTTGGGGCTGACTGTTTATCTGGGATTGCAGTGGGACTTTGTAGGATTTGTCTTTGCTGAGGAGGGAGTGAACAATGAAGAGTGCATCTCAGGTTTTAAGAATGAGAGACAGAAAAAGAAAGAGAAAGAAAAAAGAAAAAGATGAGAGAGAGGAACAGAAAGAGATAATTGAGGAGGCAGAGAAAGAGGGGAGGAGGCTGTGTCCAAGGTTCCCCTGGGTTTTCACCAGAATTCCATAGCTCTGATACTCAGGCACTCAGAAAGTGACCGTGCTGTGTTGTTGGACAAAAGGTGCCTGTGGCCTGGGCCCAAAGCATGAGGGGGTGGAGGAGCAGCCAGTGCTACCTACAAGGTGGAGGCATAGTCCTCTGAAACAGGAAACCCAGCCTTTTTGGTTTTGGTCTTTCTTCAGAATCTATCATGCTACATTATTTACTGATGGGCAGTCCTGTATTTGTGTCCGGCCAGGACGTAAAAGTCATCTCAATAGCTGTCATTTTGAGTGCTGTGTGCCAAGCATGCACGACCCCAGGGAGGCTGGTGCCTTCATCGTCTTAGATTAACCACATCCCATGACTGGACATGGTGACATACCGAACGTGAGCTCAAAATGCTGCTGCCCATGCAGCTGTGCGCCAAATGCTGGGGTTTTAGTCTGTCTGGTATCCTGTTGAGGCAGAAGGATGACAACACACCTGCTTGAACTCCCCTCCAGTGTGGCCACCCTGGGGGGCTGAGGCACCATCTCCAGGGAAAGGAAGGGGGGTCCTTGAGGTCAGGCAAACTGGGCTGCTCTCCCAACTCACTCCAGCCAGGCTCTGGGTGCCTGCCCTCTGGCCATACCCTCTCCCCCATGCCCTGCTACCCTGGGCGGTCACTTTCGGCCCCAGCATCCCAGCTGTGGGACCCCTTCCGCTCTCCCGGATGGTAGTTGGACAGGAACACTGGCTTTTGAATCACAATGCATTTGGAGAACAATCACAGAACAGCTCAGCCCAAGGAACCGAAACCAAACAGCACGAAGAACACGAAACAGGACCAAAGACGAGACTCTCAAGGGGAGGGGGCCGGGCGAGGAGGCCAGGAGGGGAAAAAAGAAATCGCCCCAACCCCCGCAAAATGAAACTAAACATAAAGAAAAAAAGAAAAAGAAAAAGAAAGAAAAAATAAAAAATTAAGAAAAGAGGAAAACTAATGGAAGAGGAGGGGCACTCCAACAGAAGGTCGGGGGTCACCGAACCAAACCGACAGAGTGGCATGCAGAGACGTGTGCATTCCCCCAGCATGCATCAGGCCGAGTTACCATGACGACGAGGAGTGCAAAAACTCAGCAACAACATTACCAACGGATGCAGAGGCGACCACAATGCAAGCATCGCATGTGTGCGGCCGGCCCGGGGCCAGGCTGGGCGCGGCTGAGATTTTCGTGTCTTTCTGGATTTTGCTCTCGCTTGGCGGGTTTTTTTGTTTGTTTGTTTTCTTTGCGCTTATTATCAGTATTCCAGCTTGTCTGTCTGTGTGGTGTGGGTTCCTGCTTGATTTGATTTCTCCGTGTGTGTCTGTGTGTCTCTGTGTGTCTGCGTGTGTGTATGTCTGTGCATGTGTGTGGGTACGTTTCGTGTCTGTATGTGTCATTTTCCGGAATGTAAAAATGTGGGTAAAGAAAGTAAAAAAGAAAAAAACACACCAACCTTCTCGAAGCTCTGAGGGATGTAAAGGGGGTTTGATGCGGAACACAATGACATGGGGAGAAGAGAAAAAATAGGGGAGATACAGAGAGTAAAAAGAGGACTTCCCAAGGCTAAAAGCTGCAATAGTTCGATTTTGTTTTTGTTTTTTTCTTTAAACCAAAAAAAGAAATTAAAATTAAAAAGGAAAAAAAACAGCAACGACCGTTTTCTCCTCTGCTGACTGCACCCTGACACACAAGGTCCACGATTCCCTAGTCAACTCCACTGGGCGCGATGCGAGGCTGGGCCTAGCCCCCTCCACAGACCCCCCACGGAAGGAGGCCAATGCTGGGGACCCTGCCTCCAGGAGCTGAGGACACACAGAAGGCCCCCCACCCTGCCTGCCGCTGGCTGCAGGCCCTG